AGGCTGGGCCTGTGGACCTCTCCTGCTGCTCCCACCATGGTCTTGGGCAACCAGATCATTGAAGCTTCGTTTCCTAATTGGGGGTAATTCCTGCAGGGTGGTTAAGGCGAACTAAATGCAGGAGACAGGTACCAGGGATATTTCTTGAGCACTTACTCTCCACCCATGTGACTAGACGTTGTTTGAAAAGCTCTTACTGCAGTGCCTGGTGGCTAAGAAGCGCTCAGTAAATTGGGGAGGCTGTGATATTGCTCCACTGTTGTTCTATTATTTTGGTTTTGCTTCAGACCCAGGTGGGGTCCCAGGCAGGAGGAGCTTGGCACCTCGGCACAGACACACTGCCCCCTGGTGCTGCTGCTGGGGAATCAACACCTGGGAGAAGCACTATTCCAGAAAGTAAGTCCATGGCCCAGTCTGCACCAGGGCCTGGGCCCATCTGAGCATCCAAAGCTCCAGCCACAGCCTTAGAAGCCAAAGCCTGCTGGGTACTGGCTTGGGAGGAAAGCCCCTGTTCCTGGAACTTCAGTCTCTCTGTTGCAAGCCTAGCCTGGGGAGCCCAGACAGCTCTCTTGGTTCCCTCCTGAGGGTCCTGAGCAAGCCAGGCTGAGGCCCTGGGAGGCACAGGCAGGGACAGTTGACTGTGACTGGTTTCAACAGAAGCCCAGAAATGGTCCGAGCTGCTGAGAGCAAAACCAGGTCTCCTCCTAAAAGAGCACCCCTAAACAGCCCTGCAGCTTCCCCCCCCCAGTATGGCCTAGTAGTTCCCCGAGTTCTAATGCCCACAGAGGCACTTCTGAGGCTACCCCCTACCTTTGCCACCCAAGGATTTCCATTTCCTGGGGCAGGGACACACAATGCCCGTGGGACATGGGGATTCAGAGGGGCTTACAGGCGCCACAATGAATCCTAAAAGCAGCCAAGCTACCTTGCATTCCTAAAGGGGGTTGGATGACAAGCACCCCTCAAAGCTCTTTCAAATAGCACTTCTGAAGTCAGCTGTCATGCCGGGTGGCAGGGGGATGCAAGTGACCTTGGAAGAGCCAAGTGGGGACAGAGTGGCTGGCTCACCCTGCATAAACCACCTCTAAAAATCCCAGATCATCCTGACGTCAAAAGACTGTTTAGCGCAGTGCCAGGCAGACATCAAGAAGAAATTAAACTCCAGCTCGAGAAGGAGGGAAGCCCGGGCTGACAGGAGCAGCTGGGCTAGAGAGTGGAGGCAGAAATTCCTCAAGTTAATGCTTTCTAAGGCCCCTGGGGCCACTCCGGGTCTTGTCTGAAGCTATTTACTTCCAGGGGGGAAAACCCTATTGATCTTCATTCAGCTGCTGTCTGCTCCTACAAGGCAGCGATGTGTCAGCGCATCACCAGTCACTGCGAGAAATTTCTCATTGTTTTACACGCAGCAACTCCCCAACTCAGGAGACAAACGAACATTTAGGACCCTTTGGGTGAACTGACAGGAGAAGCAGATCAGGCTGTTTTAGGGGTCTGGGGGGGTCCATCTCCCCTGGGACAGGCTGAGCTGCTGCTGGCTGGGCCCTCCAAGCCCCCTGCTCAGTACCATGCAGCTGAGTTCTGCTGGCTCTGTAGCGGCTCAGAGCATCAATGCTAAGCCAGCCCTGCCCTCCTGTCTTCTCCCTTGCTCCCGAACACACCTGCTTTATGTCTCTGCAGTCATTTGGCTGTGAACTCCCTCCCCGACGGCTACAGATCACCACCATCCAATGGAGCAGTTGTCACCAACACTGGCCTTTCCCAGATTCCAGGCTGGCCCTCAATCCAACATGTCAGGTCCCCCATAGGTGACAAGAGGGGAGGTCTGCCATGAAACCTACCATGGTGCTGACAGTTCCCGCCCACCTGCACCAGAGAGAACTTTGAAGCCACAACTATCCAACATCCTCAAGGCTAACCCAGTAGTCTGCAGAATGGGAAAGACTTGAGGCTTGAGGCAAGAGGCTGGGGAGGAGAGTGTGATTTGATCAGCGTGGCCCAGCGAGCTGGTGAAGATGGCAGAAAACCCAGCCCTCCTGGCCCTCAGTTCTGAGCCTTCCCACTCAAGCTTCTAGGTCTTGTACCTGGGAATGCCAGGTCCCCGCATGAGGTCACTGGAGTCCATTGGATGAAAGGACTCTTGCATTAAACTGTTTTCCATGAGTTAAGACCAGTATCCATCTGAACAATAATAACGATGATGATAATAATAAAATGCTGAACAATACGCCTTGAAAACCTTCAATGAGCAACACTTGATAATCACACATAGAATACATCTCCCACATATTCATATAAAATAATCAATGATCATTTTTTTCTGCAGACTACAATCCAATTACTCTCTCTCCCTCACTCTCTCCCTCACTCTCCTTTGTTACTTGCAAACCATCCAAGCAATCAATGCCTTGACCTCTCCCTCTGATAGACACAATTACAAAAAGACAGAGCAATGCAATTCATCTATTCAAGACAGATTGTTTGAACACTTTGTCACACTGCTGAGCTATCCATCTCCTTGTCTAAAAGGAAAATTCAGCCCCCAAAAGAGGCACAAAGAGAGAGGGTAATATGCTGCTCCCCAGCCCAGAGAGCCCCTAGCACAGCTGCAGGAGAGCTCTGCCCGCTGGAGGATTCCCTCCCAGCACAGCCAGCTCAAACAGTTCCTAGAGCCTCAATTCCTGCAGCCCCGGGGGTCCAGAGATCCCAGGGTGGACAGGGGTGGGAAGAGAGGGCAGCTGGCCCAGTGAAGGGGTGAGTCTGGGCTTCAGTATAAAACGTTCTCTCTCTGTGCCTGGTCCCAAGAGCCCCCTGGCTCTGGCTGAAGCTCAAGCCTGGGCACAAAAGAACTGAAGTTCAGCTCTCCAGGATGCTTCGAAAAGCCTAGAGGCCTCAGAACCTTCCCATCCTCCATCCACGCTGGCTCGGCTCCCGCGGTCACGTTTGGCATCGGTACAGCACCCCAGTTCGTGGGCTGGGAACCAAACGGGGCAGGGCTCTCAGATATAAATGGCTTGGGCCGACACGCTAATTAATCCTGGGGCTTAATACGAAGAAGATTAAAAGAGAGGAGGGCTTTGCCATCCTTAATTGCATTATTACACGCTGAACCCAAGAAAGGGCAGGCGGGCTTGGAGCTTCCCCTCAGGGCAGTGAGGAGCCCCCAGTCCAAGTCAATTTCACAGTAAGAGGGCAGGTGAGGACTGTGATCCTGCCCCTCTTCAGCTTTTACTTCTGAGACCTCCTTTACCTGCTCCTGTCTCCCCAGCCCCCCAAAACCTTCTTCCCTCTGGTTGGGCTGTGAGCACGCCCAACCCACCCCTGCAGTGTAAGGACCACAGAAGAAAGACCCTGCAATGCGTGGGCTGGGTTGATAGCACCTTTTGGGTCCCCTCTCTTTCCCCAAGGGCACCTTATCATGAAGGTCTCCTTTAAAAAAGGGGGGTTGAGGGGGAGAAGGAGGGAATAAAGGACATGCTGGCCAGCCAGGAAGGGTCTGCCTGTTCCGCTGCCCTGGGAATGGTAACCAAACTGGGTGCAGGGGCTGGCAAAGGTACAAAAGATAAAAGACAGGGTTTGGCTTGCCAGTAGCTGCCTGGGCAACAAATGGTTAAGCCTGGCCAGGAGGGTACAACCAGAGTCCCGCTCTGGGCTCTGGACTCCTTGGTAGAGTCCCGGGCATGGACTGTACCTTGGTAGAGTCCCGGGCATGGACTGAAAGACTCTAGCATGGCCAGAGCTAAGGAGTGTGCTCTCCCCCTCAACCAGATGTCCAGCTAAAGAGGAGTGATCCAGAGAGGAGTCAGACCCTCCAGACTTCTGACTGTGTAGCCTAGGAAAACCTCAAGTACAAAAACCAAAAAACCAAGCCCTGTGTTGGTTCCCCGTACCGCTTCGCACCACTGTCAGCCTGGGATCACATCTGGCGGAGCGCGGCTCTGGCTCGGCAGCCCTGCGGGCCCTGTACCAGACACTGCCGGTGGTGCTTCGAGAACCCAGGCAGCCCAAGTGTCTGGCCTGACAGCCGACTCAGGGCCTGCGAGACGAGGCTCCCGCGTGGCCTGGCCGGGCCCAGCCCTGGGATCCCGAGCCTCAGACAGAGAGTGCCCCTCACCCCCCAATTCAGAACACCCGCTTCCAGGGTGCCTGGGGCGGCCCCAACAAAGTTAAAGCCCTGAGTAAGAGTCTCTAGCGAGCAGAGACTCAGAGATACCAGAGACCCAAAGGGCCAGGCGCAGCACGCCAGCTACCTCCAGCTGCGGAGGGATTTGGGCTAACTTTAAAAACCACTCGCACCGCTCTTCTTCGGCTGCCTAGGCAGGCTCTGTTGCTCCCTCCCTCCCCCTCCGCCGTTGCCCCAGGCTGGGGAAAGGCCTCGGCTTTGAGGGATGGAGCAACCAGCGGGGACGCAGACGCTGACCCTCCCCTGCGCCAGCCACGGGCTGAACGGGGGCCACGGAGGCCCAGAGCCACCACGAAAAGATCCGCTGCCCCCGTCATGCGAAGCCCTACCCTGCGCCGCCCGCCCCCACCCACCCGCCGCATTCCCCGGAGCCTTGCCCCAGGTGGAGGCCAAGGGCCCGCGGAGAACGCCAGAGGGAAGAGAAGTTGGCGCCTTCCCCAGGGTTCCCGCTCTGCGGAGTAGCCACGTCCCAGAACTCGGTCTGCGGCTGGTCTGGCTGGTAGTACCCGGGAAATAAGACTGCGACTCGGGTTGGGGCTGGAATGCTTCGCGACACTGCCAGGTCTGGCCTCCCAGATGCGCGCGAAGGGCCACTAGCCAGCCGCGGCCAGGCTGCTTCCTTCCCAATAAGTGAGGCCCGTGACCCTGGCTTTGGAACTTTGTCCTCACCGGGACCAGCTCCTGGCGGCCACCGGGTCTCCGCAGCCTGGCGAGCGGTTGGGGGAAATCTCCCGGGACCGCGCTCAGCACCCCCACCCCCTCCCGCCCTTCCCGCCCCCGCCCAGGCGCTCGGAGACCCCTGGCTCCCGGGAGCCCTTACCGATCCGGATGACGTGGGGCATCCCGCGCGAGTCCGGGATCCAGAAGGCGCACACGAGGAGCCCGGCCCAGTATTCCCAAACCAGACTCCGGAGGCGCCGCCAGGGAGCGGTCATCGTTGGGCGCCGC